CATAAAGGCCTTCTAATTTTTTCCATAAATCATGTGCTGAAGTTTCAGTAGCAACATGATGAAACACATTGTTATCAATCCATTGACGGATAACACCAACGGCTTTTCGATTAAGCCTCTTCCACTCATCATCTTTCATACCTTCGGGTTTGCCACTATCACTTTCAATGGGTCTATACAAATATTTACAAAATAATAGGTCCTCTATTTTAGTTTTCCAAGTTACCCAATTGCTTCAATTGAACCTAGACATACGACCCACATTCCCCTCCATCGATTTACACAAATAAATATACCCAAATAACCCGTAAGCTTTAATACCAGTTGTTAGGGAAAATATGTGATTCTCCACAAGTAAATCAATCAATGGGAATAAAAACTAATGCAGAAAAATTAAATCAAAAGCAACACAAGAATTTTTACGTGGTTCCCTCAATGTGAGGTACGTCCACGGGATCGAAATCCGATTCCACTATCAACCAAAGAGTTTCCAAACGGTTACAAATGAGACACGAATGGTCTCACAAAACCACCCTCAAGTGAATTCCAAATAATCACAAATAAACAAGAGGAAAGACCTCACCAAATAGATGAACAAAAATCTTCAACCAGAGTCGTAGCAGACCACCAAATTGTATCAAATCTGCAACCCGAACAATACTTTGAAACACACACCACGTGAGACAAAAATACTCACCCACGCAAAAGACCACCTCACAAATTAATTGAGTAATCAACCTTCTAAACAGTGCACCAGGCTTTCTTTCACTCCATGTTGCACCCACCAAATTGATGTATGTAATCTATCACTCTCTTTCACCGAGAAAAGTTTTGTTGCTTACACTTTCTCAAGGCAAACAAAAACAATATATATATTGTTAAATCTAGGACCTATTTTATCAAAACCCTAGTTGTATCCAAATTGAATTGGGTTTCCACAAATTAGATATAATATATAAAAATATATTATAACTAATATCAAACCAAATTAAACTCTTTTAATAAACCAATTGGGTCCCACACTCCAATAAGGAGGTATACCCAACAATCCTCCCCCTACCGACTTAGGTGGAGACATCAACCATACCCGCCAAAGTTCGACACTTTAAATGTTTGTCCCTCGACAAAGTCAGCTAATCTCTAACTACAACTTTAAACATCCAAAAAGCATAACTACAAATCGTAGATCAATTAGTCAAATATTTGGAGTCTCCTGGAAGAGCATTCAAATTTTGCATGGTCAGGAAATTGAATTCCACAAGTTCAATATGACCTAATTGTGTCCCTTGAAAACTTGACATTTTGTCATACTTGCCATCAACTCCAAGGAGTTCATTAATGATGTTAAGCATTAACAAGTAACCTGAATAACCCATTTTTGTCAGTTGTTATGGACTAAATTATAAGGATAAAGTTAATCTCAAAAAGAAAAACAAACAAAAAAAAAATACAAAAGATTACTATCAATTCATCACATTATGCACTATAACTTCAAATTAAAAAAAACAATGTTAAAGTATTTTAAAAATCCATATTAAAATTACACGTATACAGCAAACCAAATGAAGGAACACTTAATGCTTTGCACAATATTGCCTCGAGATATTAGTTTCAAACCTTCAAATAAAATGTTTAAAAAAAAAAGGAAAAGAAATGACGAAAGTTTACTGAAAAGATATGCTCGGTTAATAGTCCTGAATACATGCAACAAAAATTTCTTAAATACTAGATGCCAATAAATGTGTATAGAATTTGAACCACCATAAAAAGGTATTTGGCTATCCATCATATTAGCAATCATTCAGCATTATAAATATATAAGATGAATGCTACCACTTTCGGTTAAATAACTATAACAAATACCTAAAATGAAGCATCATGAAGGACCTGAGTAGCTGCCATGCTGGCAAAACCACCACCTATAATGATGAGTAAGGGTGAGGCACCCATGTCTTCTCTCAACATTTGAATAGCAAGGAACTACAAAAAAAAAAAAGACTTATTATTTCATATTGGGCCCTGGAGCTTAACTGGCACAAATTGATAAATGGTTCAAATAATGGCAGAGTTAGTGATTGGGCATGCTCACATTCAATGAACTAATGTCACTATCATAATATGCTTCACATCTACTTCCAATCACAATGATAGACAAAAACAGTTAAAAATATTTTACACATATACTTGGCCATCATCAAGACAAAAACAGTTAACAGAAACAATGATAGACAACATATTTACACATACACTGGACATGCTACCTATCATTATTCAAAAATACAGGCAAGAAACAACTAGGCAGAGGCAATTATTGACCACAAAACACAAAAGAAGTAGCAAAAATAATAACTTCTGTAACAGAAACGTGGGTGAATAAAATTAGATGGGAAAAAATGCTTATTTCTTAAAACAGAAATCGATCAAAATAATCTCAGATAAAGTATTGAAATTAATGTGTCATTATACCTAAGAGACATACAATGCAAATTTAGGAGTGGTTTGGGATGATATAAATAAGTACACTTTTTGACTTTTTATGAAATATGGATTGGGTATGGGTTGGGTTCGAAATGATGTGGTAGAGATGTGATGTGATGTGACTTAAATAGGATAGTGACTTTTTGACTTTTTTAGGTTATGACAAACAATGCCTTAATTATAAAAGGTTTTTTAGTATCAATCTTGAGAATTGCTTCTGTTCTGACATATCCGGCCTTGATTTCCATTTAAAAAAAACAATTCCTTGCCTGAATGTTGAATCAAAGGCATGCAAATGTCATCGTTACCATTCCCCCTCTAGTTCTAGGTTAAAGACTCCATTTTTTTTACTTGTTTATTGCTCCCTTAATTTTATGTGGATAAATTCTAAAATAACGATTAGCAACTAACCGTTGGATTACCTCATTGCAAACCGATAGAAACCCGTCCATCGGTCCATTGTTTATGACCTTGTAATCAATTTGTGTCTGCATTCACAAGCAAAAACACTCAAATGAGATAAATAAATGGATTGGCTCTATCTTGTGCATGCTATAAGGTCCTTCAACGTCAGCACTCAAACTATGATGCATCATTGTATGTGAGACTACTAAATGAAATAGTTGGGCTGAATTTCTGATTTTAACTAAAAAACGGCAAAGAGGAGCCAGCCCATATGATATTCACTAATATGACAAATCTAGAATCACAAGTCCAAAATTAAGGAAACTCTCACAATACTCAAAAACAAACATTAGACCTAGATTTCATAAGGTTTGATAAGGATTAGTTTCACCTTTAATACTCCATTTGGATGGAGAGGTTTTATGAGAAAAGAAAGAAAAGAAATGATGAGAAATAAAAACTTCACTTGTTTGGATGGTTAAGTAGGTGAGAAATGCTATGTTTGTTTTTGGTGATGAGATTTGGTGAGAAAACAAAACGGGTTTAATGAATCTTTTCAAAATACCAAAATTACTCTATGTTGAAAAAAGAACATAGAAAATAGCTTATTAATATAAAAAATTATTTGGATAAAACAAAATAACACTTTCTTTTCTTTTCCATCCAAACACAAAATGACAAAAAACCATAATCATTTCATTTCATTTCTTTTATTTTCTCGCCTCATGATCCAAACGGAATGTAAAGGTGAGTTGTTGCATAAATTAATATAAGTAACTGGCAAAACCAATAGTAACAATTTAGCATGATCAAGCATTTCAATTGGTTATCAACCACAAAGCTGTAATGAAGAAAACGCAGCACATAAAAGGGACAGCTTTCAAAAACAACTTTTAAAAAAAAAAAAATGCTAAAGGCAGGCCATGTTCCAGTAGTAGTGTCATCATGTCGAAAATCCAAAAAAAATGAGAGAAAGAAAGTTGGAGAAATTGGGACTAACCTTTAAGAAAGAAGTAGGAGATATTGTCACCATGTTCTGAAATGTATAGTTCTATATTTTCCTTCTTCCTTCATCGTGCATAACCTTTACGACTCATGGTGTGTAAGAGGGTTTGCTTTTTCCTCATTGCCCGAAATATTTTACTCTTTGCTACATATACAAAGAAGAATGTCATAATTTATATGATTAATTATAAATAGAGTTATAACACCCTCAGTTTTATAATTGGTAGATGATGTTCAAGATATTATTGTATATATTAGTCAATAAATAGAGTTATAAGCACCTCAGTTTTATAATAATAAATAAGATAAAATAAAATAAAAACTTTGCTGCCACTGTGAATGCACAGAAGTGGCTGAAAGCTAGAGATGAGCAATGTAACTATTTATTTATTTATTTATTATTATTATTATTATTATTATTATTATTATTAGTATTATTATTTTATTTTTTGTGTTTATTAAAGAAAGCATGATATGCCCAAATTCAAATCACTATTTAGTTTGATGGGGGTATTGATGAGATTACAAAAAGCGGGCCTAAGTTATTGAAGTATGAATCATGAGTACATAAGCAATCATGTAAACAACTGA